TCTCTCTCTCTCTCTCTCTCTCTCTCTCTCTCTCTCTCTCTCTCTCTCTCTCTCTCTCTCTCTCTCTCTCTCTCTCTCTCTCTCTCTCTTCCTTTCGGTCGTTCTTTCCTTCTCATGGTCACAGGCGCCCACACACACACCAACAAACAGTCTTGCATAGTCGATCCAGGTTTTTTGTGGAGCTGTGTATATCCAACATGACAGCACTCATTTTTTTGTGCGCCCAACTGAGCACCCTCAAATAGTGCCAAACAGTCGGTGGTTCCTCGTTTTGCTCATTTTTTTGTGCGCCCAACTGAGCACCCTTAAATAGTGCCAAACAGTCGGTGGTTCCTCGTTTGGAGTGCCTACTGCACTCTTAGAGTGGCCGCTCGGTTTGGGATGGCTGTGTTGCCTGTGGGTGATGACGTATGTTCGCTGGAGTGACTCTGTGGCTCAGTGGGTGGTGGAACCAACAGTCTGCGGGGTTCAATCGTGATGTGAGTGGGTCATGTGCCGCTTTGCTCCGTGTTGGATGTGTGGACTGCCTTGTCTGAGTTGTCTCCACTCCGCCGCTGCCGTGCTGCCAGTCCCACTTGCTTCGCATGTGGTTCTCTGCAAATTGCTGTGTCCACTGTGTGGTGTGGCCGTGATGTTGGTGTTGCCTTGCGCTTCACCACTCCGCTGCCTTGCTGCCTATCCGATGGTCGTGCCTTCCGTGTTTGCTGCCTGCATGCCTTGTAGGTTGGTTGCCTCATTGCTGTTGACTTGTGCTTCGCTGCATGGTTGCCATTGCAAGCCGCTGGTCCGCTCGCCCCGTCGTCCCTTTCAGTGCAGGTGCCTTGCTTGTGTTGCCTTGTGCTTCACTACATTGTTGCTGTGCTATTCATCTGCCACCCGCTTGCCGTGTCGTTCCTTGCAGTCGTTTTCTTCATTGTGCAGCCATGTTGCCTCTAGTAGCCTCTACTGTGTTGCCTGGTGCTCCGCAGGGTTGCTGCCCGCTGCTATGTTCCACTTGGGGACAGTCTGCCTTCAACATGGGTCAAAGGGCTCATGACCCAAACCATCCAATACAAAGTCTCCGCAGATTGTCGAGGGTTCAGCCTCCGGATGAGTCAGTGCAACTCCGACGAAACAATCTATCATCATCAGTTTTTTTTTTTTTTTTGATCTTTCGGTTCTTTAGACTTGTATTTTTTTTGGGTTTCCTGTGTCGTGTTCTTGCGTTGTCTGCCCTCCTGCCTCCTCTGTGCCTTCCAGCCTTTACTCTCCATTGCGGCTGGTCATCCTATGCCTTGTTGTCCTATGCCGTTGTGTGTCCACCCGCCTCCCCCTTGCCCTCCATCCTTTCCTTTTTGTCGTTGCTTGGTGTCACATGCCTTGATGCCGCATGCGTTCTTACTTCGCTGTCTTTCATCCGCCTTCCTGTGCTGTTTGTTTGCCCGCCCTGCCTCCCCCGTGCCCCCAAGCCTGTGTGATGTGATGTGATGTTGTTATTTGCCTTGCTGTTCGTTGATTGCGTTGTTGCTGGCTGTCAGTTGCCTTGTTCTATTTGACTGCTGCTGTGGCTCACAACTTAGTGCCCTCGGGCTCTAGTCCTTGTGTCTTGGTAGGGTTGGTGAAAGATAAGGGCCGCTCCATGCCATGATCACGGTACAAGGGGTAATAACTACTAATAGGAACCTGGAGGTTTTCAGATACGCGAACGGCCCCGGTGTGGTCCATGCGGATGATGCAAACCCGGCCCGAATGGGTTTCAACTCGCTGCGGGAATGCAACTCGCCGCAATTTTCTCATCACGGTACCTTTATGGTTAGTTAAACACTCACAGAAAAAGAAAACAAGCTGCACACGTGTGGGCCTGCATGGTAGTAATAGCAACAAGAAGGAGAAGAAGTGGCAACAAGAACGAGAAGAAGAAGACGAAGGGAAAACAGAAAAAGAAGATTGAGGACAAGAGAAAGAGAGTGTTGCAGAAAAGAAAAAGAAAAAGAAAGAGGGTGTTGCGTGACATGCCCGGATTTGGCCCCTTCCTCTCCTTCCCGATAAAATTTGAAAGCGCACAAGAAGGGAAAACAGAAAAAAGGCCCGAATGGGTACCGGCGCCCAGTACTGGTGCCGCTGTATTAGCTTGTTCGACACTACAAAAGATTGTTTTCGGAATGCCTCAGGCCACTGAGGCCAGTGCTCAGAGGTCGACAGGTTGTCCAAACCTGATTCAGACCATTCTTTCTGTGCGGAAACAGCTTTGAACCTTCTTTTTGATGAAGAAACTTTAAGGTACCATGAAGTTTTTTGTTACGTAACTAAACCTCCCTTCTGCCGCTGCACGAGAAAGAGGGCGAATTAACAAAAGACTGTGCCGAACAACGGGGCCATTACCCAGTATTCGGCTGAGAACGACAGGAAACGGCTGTCTGGTCAGGTCATGGGTGATGGTCCTGGCCGCTGGGTGGTCCAGACTAAGAAAGGACAGAGGGGGTGGGGCTGTGCTGGGGAAATTGATCAGAGGAAGGGTGGAGGGGGCTATTCTGAGGGGGGGGTACAAAACAAAACAAAAAACAAAAAAAAAACGACCTCTACAATGTCTACATCAATATTCCTGAAAACTATTATCCGTGGTGGTTTCATAAGGTGGACCCAAATAACAAAAAGTCAAAAAGAGAGTGGAGTAGAGTTAGTAGACGTCGTCCACAACTTTTTCTACCTCTGGGATGGGGATAACTGGTACACACACAGCCCACGCGAAAAGACAGTCACACGGATTTTTCCGGCATATGGGTACGCCGGCCGGGTTAACTCATCACTCGTGGAATAATGTATACTTAACCAGTTGCAGTCTTTGGGTTTAACAAAGACATTGGCCTACCGGAAAATGAATCTGCCGCCTATACAGCGCAAGGTTCATAATGACGTAGAAAGAGGCCAAGTGCATACTAGGACCACAACCAGAACCCAGCTGTATCTACAGGTTATCTGTCTAGGATGACCACCGGCCTCTGCAATCTGGATTCGACGGTCCCACCATAAAGAAACGGTTACTGTTAAACCACTGCCATCTTCACCCGAATAGAACACCTGGTCATTATCGCTGCATCTGGACCGAAAGTTGTGCCAAATACAGCTATAATGACCGGCCGTTCTACTCGGGCGACGACGGTAGTACATGGCCCCAGCCTTGCAGTCCGAAACTTGTCTCCACAAGCAAACGAGGCCGATACATCAAAACGGTGTGCCTGCCGTTGATAAATTGGATCAGCGGTGGCGTTTTCGTTTCGCGCTTCCGGAATTTGAGGTGTCAGGACGGCGGCCCAGGTGACCATTGACTGGTGCTTCAAACCTCTAGTACACGGGCCCAGCCTTGCAGAAAGTTTTTGTCCTGACAAGCAAAACTCAGAGGCACCGCGTGGCCAGGCCCACCGTTGAAAAAAAAATCGGCGGTCTCGGAAGTGGTGCGGGTTTCATGCTGACACCCACGGCCGTTATGTGGTGTACTGGTGCTTTAAGAGAGTGGAGTTCTGATTCAGAAGGAATGAACATCTTCTCAGACTCTCAGACTCTGCACCCAGGGCCGTGGACCAGTTGAGGAGGGGAGTACGGGTCTGA